ATTCTGCAGTTTTTCTCCTTGGATGATCAAAACGGTCTGAATGACTCTGTTCAAATGACCACAAGCTTAAACAATCATTCTTGAGGTACTATTTTAAACTGAGCTGCTGAATGAGCTGTTGAGACCATGATATAGTCGTGAAGGCAGAAATAAAACTTTCATTGTCTGCTTCCTCAAATCCTCTAAAAGTTTGGAGTGATATAAAATGTAATACTTATTCACTGAGGCCACTTTTTGAGCCAAAACTTCTGCCTTAAAGCTCCTTTTTGTCTGGGAAAAGGCCTGCGAAGGCTTCCTGGAAAACATTTGAAATGCATTTTCAGACTCGTTGAGCTCATTGACTCTCACCTGGTCACTTTCTTTTTCCTTCCAAACAACAACCGTTAATCTGCCCACGTGCTTCTAGTCACTTCCTGTTTGTTAACAAACTACAAATGTGTCCAAGACAACCAATGAAAAGTTAGCAGCTTTATTATTTTAATCATCACAGTTTTGGAAAAGTTGAGACACTAAACATCACCTGAGGTTTCAGTAATTGTTTCCATAACTGTAGTCAGACGCTTGTTTATTATCTTATGTTTATTATCACATCTTTTCCAGTTTTATAACATTTATAGTGAAGGCACTTTGTCTCCTTCTGTGTTGAACTGTCAGTAAATGTTAATATTCATTATCCATATAAAAAGGCCAAACGGTGTCCAGTCAGAAACTTTTTTTTTTCTAACAAACGTATTAAAAACTTATTCTGTTTTCTGTTAGATGAAAAAAATTTTTTAATTAAACTACTGCTTTTTGTGTTCTTGTTGGCAGAGATGTCAAACCAGAAGAGACATATTTCGATAGGGACGTGGAGAAGGCCTTCATGAAGGCCAGTGCGGAGCTGTTTGAGAGGAAGACCAAGCCGTCCTTGCTCATCTCCAATCAGAACGGGAACATGTACACGCCGTCCGTCTACGGCTGCCTGGCGTCCGTCATTGCCGAGTATGTCTCTGTGTGCAGCTCTAACGGTTCCATTAGTGTAGATTCAATATACTGATCAGGTTTGTCTTGGATACCATTCATTTTAAGAGCTGAAATCCACAAACACACCCCATCTGTCATAACTTATTGATTGGCAGCTCTGCTCATGGTCATTTTGAGAACAAATCTACAAACCGGATTCCAAAAAAGTTGGGACACTAAACAAATTGTGAATAAAAACTGAATGCAATAATGTGGAGATGGCAAATGTCAATATTTTATTCGTAATATAACATATGACAGATCAAAAGTTTAATCTGAGTAAATGTAACATTTTAAAGGAAAAATATGTTGATTCAAAATTTCAGTGTCAACAAATCCCAAAAAAGTTGGGACAAGTAGCAATA